CCCCCCCGCATTCCTCAGCCATTGTAAACATCCCAGGAGCAGGAGCACAATGCACCACTTAATGACAGGTGTCGGCGCGCACTCAGACCGATACTGACGACTTGCACGTAAGACCTAATCTCTTCCCGTCGCGTTGGACGGTTACAGTTACACCACCGCCGGGTGGTAGTTGGCTGCAGGCCAATTCAAGATTCCTTCCGAGTAAAAAAACAAATTGCAGATCAGACAAGTATAAGCACAGGTGGGGAGCTGCGTCAGGACTGCAGAGGAACAAGTAATAGGTTTATTCCCTGCTGAAAAGAGAAGAAAGAAAACACAACGTTTCGGCGGTGGAGCCTTCGACACCTGAAGAAGGCTCCACAGCTGAAACGTTGCGTTTTCTCTCTTCTCTTTTGGGAAAGGATAAATACAGACGTTTGGGGAGGGTTGTTTAGTGTTCAGGGTGCTGGTCATGTCCCCAGCCTTCGAGGCAAAGGTAAGAGGAGAGAGGCGAGGCGTGCTGGCGTGTTCTCATTTAGAGGATTTATACAGGGCTGGGCGAACACATGGTCCGCGCAGGCGGCAGGAAAATGAGCGACAGCTGTCGGGGGGGAGACACACCGAGCCTGCAGAGTTCAGGAATGAAAAAGACCGAGGTGTGTATGCTGACACAGCTAGACAAAGCGAGGAAACAGTACGAAACGCCAACAGAGTGTCAGAGCACATGGCTAAAAGCATAGGACTCTCGACGGATCAGGTGATGTTGGAATGAATTATCTTTGTCCGATGCCTTTGATCCCAAGGGATCTGAAGGTCTTTACTACAGGCAGAGATCCCCTTCCCAACTCCACTGGAGGGCAGGTCTCTCCCCTCTCTACTCCGCTGCCACCAGGAGGGCAGGTGAGAGCGGAGGGAGAAAATCAGGAGGCCAGATTCTGGAGACCCTGGCTCACGCCTCCGTCTCCTGAACAGTACTTCGTGCCTTTAGAGGAGCAGGTGTCAGAACATTGCTTTAACATCTCGTCTGAGGAATGTCACGCCTACAGCACAGTGCCCCTGGTCACCTCTGGTTTAGGGAATTCTGTTCCAGGGGGAAGAGCGCCACCTACTGGCCACCCAACACACATTAAAGTGCGTTAATATATTTCCAACAAAAAGACACGATATAAAACGCAGAAGAAAAATCGCTGGAGTTTTTTTTTTCTCCCCTTGCTATGCCACACTTATAACCTTCCGGACTTCCCAAAGTCCGTTCTTTGCACGATAGAGAGACATTTCTGGGAACCACTCAGAGGTGTCGTGAGCGAACGAGCACGGCGGGGCTCTAGACCAGGCGGGCCGGCACAAGGAAGACGACGCAAAGGTAACACCCGCCAGAGCAGTTTCAACTTTAACCTCAACGTCCTTAGAACATTCCAGATAGTCTGCTGGGCATATGGGTAATCTTCTAACCATGGTTTTTAAGCAATGACGAGCGCAACGCAATGCAGAGACCAGAAATGTACCTTCCATGCCGAAATGAAATGAGATACAACGTCTTGGCTGTGGAGCTTCTCTCTTCAGCCTGGAATCAACTTGACTTGGGTCCCCGCTTCAGATAAATGCAGGTTACTGACATTATTGGTCATGTCCATGACCAGGTGCATTTAATAACGCCAGGTGTTAACATTCTGACAAAACGAAACTCAAATTGATTTCGGAGCGGTGTTGACGTACTGTAGTGAAAAACCACAACGTTTTTTTTTTTTTGGCCAGGTTACCCTTTTCCAAAACCGGGTTAATTAATTGGATTTTTTGTTTTTTGGATTATTTTAAACTTTTTTAAAAAAAATCTCGAATTGAATAAACATGTATTACTTTGTATCGGAATCTTCCAATACGATTAAAATCGGAAGGCTACATCACTTTAAGGGGTCGTAGAAGTTTTTTTCTATTTAAATTATTTTACCCTAGGTCGCCATCAGGTGGCAGAACACCATCACTACAACTCATCGCCTTCCACACATCTCGGCATTTCAAACCTACCGGGACGCTACCACCCAAAAGAAATATTTTATGTGTATCACTTTATTACGTGATAACTGTGTGAACAGCATCGTTATCAGCACAAACACACCCAGGAGTTACAAAACACACTTGTAGCTCTGTAAAGAAAGGCTTACAACTTTTTAGTTGATTTTCTTTTATTGTCATACTTTTAGAAACTGAAGCAAAGTTTCAGAAACAGTAAAAGGAGGAGCACAGGTTTTCAGCACTGATTTCAGTATTTTTTCCTTTAAATAAGGAAACGCTAAAGTTATGTTGGCCATGTAAGTGCATTAGGTACAAAGCATCTCCAAATGGTATTTTACATTTAGCCAGACTTGGAAAGACATAAATTGGCCATTTCGAAAATGTCCCTTTTTTTTTGGAAATCCAAGTTCAACATTCACAACTAATATTTTTTTCAAAACAGCTTTTAACTTCTACAATAATTCAGACACCACAGAAACTGACCTCTATTTTAAGGAAAAGGAAGACAAACAAAACTGAAATGTGAAAATCTGGAACATCCCCATTGAAAGCAAGCTGTTTATTTTATGTGTATGTTTATTTTAAACAAGGACTTACCATCAAATAAGATGATGCTGGCATTGAGCAATGGGTTGTTTTTTTAAAGGAAACAGGATATAAAGTTTGAGAAATGAAACTGGAGGGATTGATTTTCGGGTCAGTTTTAAATCACTTACAAGTCTTCCTTCTCCCTGTTAATGCAAACTTCAAAATATGAACAATATTTTTGTTTTTAACAAGCATGGTGAATAAACACACTCGGGGGTGCACATTTCTTCCCGGAATCAATCACTCTACACTTGAAGTGATCAGCCCTGCTCTGAGGAACACAGAGCTGAGTAACGTCACTCCAGTCTTTGACAAGTCCTTTTCAGTTGGCAATACAGTGACACAAGATCTGAAGTCTTATCTAGATAATCCGTTAGACCGTGAAACCCAAAGTGGACTCTAGACCAGGGCATGACTTTGCAGAACTGTGTCCTGGCCTGAAGAAGGAGGTCCAGCACAGTTGGACTCCAGCTGGGGATAAAGATGCCATCAGTCTGTCGCGAACGTACTGGTTCTTGAGCTGCACCGAGCAATTGGACCTCATGTGCAACTATCCTTCGAATTTATAACTCAAAACGCTTGTCATTCCATGCAGGAGTCTGGGAAGTCCTGTACTCCAGGATGGAGAGGTACAGGATGTGGCATTATCTGGGAAGGGAAATGCTAACTGATTTCTACGCTACTTTTGGACTGTGAACAACATTATGCCAAGCTGGAGTTTTATAATGAGAAATAGAACAAGGCACTGTATAAGGTCCTTGCGTTGCACTGAAACACAAACACAAGCCACTCGGCATACACTCGTAATCCCTTACAATAGGGTTTGCCAAACTAATGAGCTAAGCCCCTCTCCACACGCACTTCCATCAAAAAACAAGAAAGGATGAAAAAAACGACCTTACCCGTTCCCTTGAATTACAGGAATGCAGCAAGATTTTGCTTAAAGAGAAAATGCAATTTTATAATACAGGTAAGCTTTGTTTTCTGCAGGTTTGAAAGAGGGTATGAGATTGTAAGTTTGTTGTTTTATGCCCCATTTTAAGTAAAACGTAACTTTTGAGATTAGGCAGTTTTAGATAAAGCATGGACGTGCTGTGCAACTAATGATTAAAAAGGCTCGTTATGAACTTTTATCCTCCGATATGCTGCTCGTGATGTGACTTGGTATGCTTTGTAATAAAATCTGTTCTGTCAGTTCACAGAAACAGAGAATTAAGAAAGCAAATTTCTAGGCCTAAGAGATTCTCCAAGACACCTGCTTCTCACCACCATCAACCTCTCCCTCTCCTGATGAATGAACATACTGCAGATGCTGCTTGTGATGTGTGAACTCAAAACTTAGGCTGTTCTCAGCAGGGAGGTAAGAATGAATTCGGTCCCCCTAGTGTCCTAGAGCAGCTATTAAGCCACATTTCTCTTTATTACTCCGCAAAAACACAAGATATTTCTTCTTCTCTACCCTATTTATAGATGGACAATCCATAAATACTTAATATCCATAAATGTTTTTAATTGTATCCCCAGTTATAAGTCTCATGGATAAAAAAAAAAGAATGTCGAGCTCTATTCCAGAGAGGGATGGAGTTAAGGAAGCTGGAGGTGGTGTGTGTGTGTGTGTGTGAGGATGTGGCAGAACAAGGCAATTGCAAAAAGCTGGTAAAAATAAGAATCTCAAAAGGCCTGTAACAACACCTTGAACGGTATTATGATAATGTAATTAAACAGATGAAACATGCCATTACCCCTTTAAACACATGCAGGTTAAATACTAACTGGTCTTAACTGGCACCAAGGCTCTGGGAAGAAGGGAGAGGAATGCTCAAAGATGAGCAGAACCTCTGGGGGTAGGGGGCAGGGTGGCGATAATTAAATAGCGTATTTGAATGTGTGGAAACTGGCACATTGTTCTATTTTTTCCCAAAATACTTGTGGGAAAAACTGGAACACCGCTGTAAGGTTTCTGCACCCATTCCTGGAATACAAAAGAGCCAGAGCGACCAGGAACCTGCAGAGGTGCCAAGAAAGCAGGCAGCAGCTGAGGCTTTCAAACTCACCAGCGCTTTCAACTCAAACCTGAGCCTCGGACAGGCCCGAGCTGCTTGGGCAGGGGGAACGAGCAGCTGCACTAACTCCAGAGTGCACCAGGGAAGCTCTCAAGGCAAGCTCTCAGGCACAACAACATCTCTGCGTCTGAAAGTGGGATGGTGTTCATATATCTCATTGAAATGTCTTTAGAACAGTACTTTTCTGAAAAACAATTTAAAAAAATCTATTTACAAGAGAATGTCTGCCACACACAGCTCCCTCAAGGTGGCGAATGTTACAAGAAAGAGCCTAAAAGTGTAACAGTGTAAATATATACATACAGTTTAAAAGATATATCTGAGCCACAGGACAGTCATGACACTAAGTATTGCCCTGTGCAACATATTTTAAGGTGAAGCAACTGTATATGCTGTAAGCGTAACATGTACTTTAAACAATTTTATTTAAATTAAATGAGGCAGAAAGGAAAATCAGCAGTACTTATAAACCTTCATGTATGCATTCTCTTCACATGAACCTAAGTCCTCCTTCGGCAAGTCCATCATGGAGAGCTGTACAGCACAGTTCCACTTTGATATGAACACGCAAGCCACCTCATGGCTACTGTCGTTCAAAGCTGAAATCTATTACATTAGAAATTATTTCTTGCCAAACGGGAAGACAGAAGCACACAGCAGTCATCGACCACATTATATATTTTCAAAAGGCACATATACCTCTATGCACGCACGGGACTACGGTCGCAGTAGCAAGGACTATCTGAAACTCGCTTTTGTAAGGAGGCTAGCTCTGTAAATATAAATAACACAGCGCTTCTATACCAACTCAGGGGACAATCCTACCCAGCAGGAGCTCACAGGACTGAAGCCTTTCTTAAGCCACTTCATCCCCATAATGTTTCAGTGTCCCAACAGAGGACCGTTCCACTTATTGAATTATCCAACACTTAAAGACTGGGAAACACTTCCACCTGCTCATGATCTTGAAAAAGGCATATCTATAGCAAAGCTGTCTGCAATGCAAGTACTGGACTCTGTAGGCCTATAACATGCCAACAGGAGCATGAGTGAAGCAGCATGGGTTGAGTGTGAAATTCTTCCTGACCAGCATTTCACAATGAAAAGCACACATGTATGTTTTCTGGACACCAATGTACAGTTCTTGTCACAAAGACGGAAACACAGAGGTTAGAAAAAGTATTATGACCACACAGTACTTTCAACCAAACATATTATTACATGAATGTACAACAACAACGAACAAAAGAACAGTCGCACGTTTATTGTATAGGTGTAATCACTATAGGATCAGCAACTGTCTCATAAAAAAGGGATTATAGCGATTTATGGTTAACAAAATGTAAAAAGTCGTCAACAGTAAATCTTGATTATATCTCTCCAAAATTCTGATGATGCTTTACAATTTAAGAGAAACCAAAAATTGTACACGAAACCTATGCTTCACAGTATTGAGATACTAGTATATTTACTTGACAATTAAAAGTACAATATTGTTTCAGGGTGTCTTTTCTGAGTTTTCCCAGTTTTCAGTACTGACTGAGTACTATGGATAATCATGTCAATAATTCAAAATACATCAAGGTATGAAAATACCTTTATCCAAACGGATAAAAAACATTAAATTCCTTAAGTGCATTTCGATAGTAATGGGCAGCATGCAATTACTTGTTATACGGTTTTACTCAGTCATTGCCAGATTTGTTTCTGTATCCATTCAAAAGGTCAGGCTGTAGTGAATATACAGAAGATTAATAACAAATGTCACACACGAGTGCCTTTTTCAGTCAGATGAATAAAAATCAATTAATCAACGCGAGCTGGTAATCTCGCAGTTCTCGTAGTGACCTTAAACATCATCTTTAACCTTTTCCAAACAAGTGATATTTCACAATACAGTTAACTGTGAAGCATTGCAGTGCCTCTCATATAACCACTGCCAAGATGATACTGCGGAGGGGGGGGATAACCAATTTTTACTTCCAAATAACGCTATAATAATATTTAAACACTTTGTTAGCTTAATAATTATGACATTTTATAAATGCACTCTGATAAAATGTCAAGCTGGGGTGGGAATACGCGTTGGCTCTTCCCAGCTGAGTGTGTGCAGCACGTCTGCCTCACTCAGACACACCTCTGCTGCTCGCGGGGCTCAGTAAGGCTGCAGAAGGGCTTGGAGGCAGAAGCTGCAGAAGCAGGGGGAGAGAGCCCAGCTGGGGGAACTGCTCTTCTGAGCCTCAGCGAGCAGGACCCTCCGCGGACTGAGGGGGGACTGGGGAAACAAGCCACTTATCCTGGATGAGACGCAGGGCTTTGTTGTCAATTACAGTCAAGGTTATCCAAACCTGCGGTTCACGCTGTTCTCCAGCTGGAGCCAGTCTTACAGCCATTCCCCAAGCCACTGCTCAGTTCGGCAGTGCCAAACGTGGACTCAAGCCCCCCGAAGGATCGCACAGTCACGTCCGAAACCCGCAGCCTTCGCGTTCCGGAAAGCTGCAATTGACCACAGCCCCCGGCGGGCAGAGGCCGGCCTGGGTGAGGCCCGGAGGGCCGGCTGATCTGGGAGGGAGGGAGGGAGGCGGGCGGGCGACTGGCCAGGAGTGGGTACTGCTCGGGGGCGAAACGGACCAGGCTGGCTTTAGGGGGTGAGCTGCTCGTCCTCAATGTGCAGGCTGCTCGTGGGACACAGGAGGGGCTGGCTGGAGCTGTTGGTGCTTTGGCTCTTCAGGCTCTCCGTCGACTCAGACGAGCCTGCAGACAGACGGCAGTGCGGCAACGTTACAGGACACCTGCTGGAGCGACGGTGGAACTGCAGGGACACGTACTGGGAGGGGCTGCAGCGGGCCAGTCCAAGACAAATTCAGCAAACTGGACTGAAAGCCGAGGAGGAGAGGACGGGGTCTCTAGTTATCACTGCCCAAGCGTAGCGGCAGCAGTGTTCAGAGATGTACTGGTTTTTTCCCCCCGTCTACTCCTTCACAGGAATTTTAACTGGCTGTGCTTTACCTTCCAACAAATCTTGACGAGGTGAAAGGAGAGGCGTCGTTTACAAGATGCAAAAATCAAAATCAAATTGAAAGGCAAAAACTGGTGTCTGAAGAGCAGTGTACTCCACGGATCAGTGGGTTATGCATATAGTAGGGATGTTTCTACTACTGCTTTCAGTGTCATAAACAAGAGCAATTTGACCTCAGATGCTTCAGGACTGATCTTCCTGAAGATCGACATCCGAATTAAGTAAGAAAAACAGAACTTTGGAAATACAGCAGCAGACACTGTCCTGGACAAGCCAGGGACTGGATCTCCCGAGACAGCATGCTCTGAGAGACTCACTGAAGCAAAGCAAAGGACACACAGCACAGCTGCTTGAGAGCGAGACAGGTAAGGCAACATACCAGAGTTAATCCTCAATACCAATAGAGCAGGAGTCAGGACCTAGGGCTGCCAGAGAGAGGCGAGGAGCGAGGGGAAGGGTACAGGCAGGGGCGAGAGAGGGTTAGAGAACAGAGGAGAACAATGGCACACAGGTTAGAGGTGAGGCCCAGGGACTGAAAGCACGTGAGAAAATGTAAAAAGGAAATCCTACATATTCTAAACACCTTCTGACTGTCAACAGTATATATTCATTCAGGTGGCATCATCAAGGTCATTCATTCTCAGTGTGCAGACCTCAAGCCCAGGATAATAAGCTCTGTCCAGAGACTTAATTAAGGAACAGCACAGTATATTTACAACAACAATGACGTGAGAGGCCTGTTTTCTGAAGTATTAACGAGACGGGGAATTGTCCAAAGACGATCTATAATTAACCACTGGTATCAGAAACATGTCTGCACGTCAGTGTGCTAGATCTGAATTCCCTCCGCACTGAACACCACTGAAAAAGATGGTTTCCATTCTTGTTTTATACTAATACAATAAGGAAACACCTTTACTACTTGAATCAATACAGATGCAAACATGGCTTCCTTAGCATTATTATTCCCTATCTCATACTGCACAAGGGCAGGTCGCTCAGGAGCCCAGCACCAGCTGACGGGCAGTGCCCTGCCCCGCGCCCCAAGCCGTGCTCACCTGGCAGGGACAGCTCCACTGGAGGGTCGCTCTCGGTCTTGGTCAGGCTGCTGCGCTCGCTGCTGCAGTCCTGCAGGATCTCCCCCACGGAGCGCGGCCGCTCGTCTGGGAAAGCACAGGGACAGAGGGAAGAGCTTGTGCCGTGTGGTGCCATGAAACAGCCACTCGCTACCGTGCAGCTAAAAGAAAACGAAAATCTGCGCCCTATAAGAGCGACTGTGCTGAGAATATACACTATACACACTATATATACTACTGTACAAGTAACGGGTTACTTCTATTGGGGCGGAGCGGTGGCTCTGTGACTAAGGATCTGCGCCTGTGGCTGGAAGGTTGCCGGTTCAAATCCCGCAGCCGGCAGAGGAATCCTACTCCGTTGGGCTCCTGAGCAAGGCCCTTAACCCCAACTGCTCCAGGGGCGCTGTATAAATGGATGACCCTGCGCTCTGACCCCAAGCTCTCTCCCTGTCTGTGTGTCTCATGGAGAGCAAGCTGAGGTATGCGAAAAGATAATTCCTAATGCAAGAAATTGTAAAGGGTTAATAAAGTAATGTTATGTTATGTTATTGGAAAAGTACTGCTACCGAGAGACAGGGTAGCTACTGTTTTCAAAAATGAGGCAGTATGTGCCTCTCACTACCTAACAACCATACGTACTGTCAAGCAAGCCCGGATTTCTTTACGACAATTATGTTTCAGGAAAACATGAGGTCTCCACGTTTCAGAAACCTGGGCACAGTGTTTTAAGAGAACTGTATTCAGAGCCGGCCTGGGCCCCCTCACCTTCATCGGGCGTGACAGACTCCGGAGCCTCTTCTGTCGCCGTGTGCTGCGGAGAACATGACAAACTCACGTGAAACGAAACAAGAGACGAGCCCTGTGGGGTTTTTTTTTAAAAAACAATTTCAAGGAGGGCACCGATACATTCAATGACGAATTCCCCAGCTCCCACACGTGGACTGATTTCAATACCGTATACCCAAAGGTGTTCTGACGGAAATTCCAAGTCAAAAAGAATGGAAAGAGAATGTGAAACAAACAGGAGGGCGGTGTTGCCTGGGCTTTCTTCTGCGGTGAAAAGCGGCGGGGCTGGTTTTCCGGGGGCAGTCCAGGCTCACCTCCGTGGAAGCAGGGCTGCTGGAGAGCAGAGTGTGGGGCGGGGCGTCGGACACCTCGGACAGCTTCTCCTCGTCCTCCTCCTGGATGGGAGACGAGGGCGAGCGCAGGGTGCTGCGGGGACAGAGGGACGGGGTCACGTTTCCCATTCCCTGCCTCTCACCCCAAGCACAGCTAGCTGCCACACAGCCAGGAGCCCGAGAGCAGTCAGCCTCATGAGGACAATCCAGACCACTGATGTGGCACTCCTGCTAACAAGACTGTCGCTCATGGAACAAGGAAACATTTTGCACCCAAAACCTACTGTATTTCTGATGCAAAACAAGCACCTTTGGGAAAAGTGACTTTGAAGTAATACATCACAGTTACAAGCCTCTTATACAAGGGATTTATTTTTTTGTATTCTTTTAGAATTATTACACCGCGATTACTTTTCAGTAAATGATTACTTTTCAGAAATGACTCCTCCTAATGTGCTGTTTGGTTCAAAGTGTAAACCCGTACAGAAGTAAATTATAACTGGGGCACTGACGTTTTGTGTTGCTTTGGCTTTATTTAGACAGCAACCTTCACGATAAGGCAACAGTAATTAAAGGTAAAGATAAATAACACTGAATTATATACTTGGAGGAACGACAGCATGTGCATATTCCAAGCCAAAGATGCCCATTAAGTGACAACATTATGGGGCGTTAATGACACTGCGTGTCAGAGGTCACCGCGGCCTGGGTATGTCTGCTTCACATGGCATTGGAAACCATCACTAAGCCTGAGCTGCACCCTGCAAGAATTTTGTACACAGGTACAGCAAACCCAGGGATGTGGGCCTGCAGCTCCTCCTCACAGCTATAAGGAGTAGCAGACAGTGAGGTCAGCCTAGTGCAGCCTGGGCCTCTGATCTTTCCCCAGAACCACTTGGCAATGGCAGTGGTGATAAATATAGTTCAGCTGTGAACTGAAAGTGCGCACGATGAAGAAAAGAGTCGTCTGTTGGAGATTTAAATAACCCTCATGTGCTTCTGAACTCTACTAATAATATAACATTGTATTACACAGTACTGAGACACAGTCTGTACACATTGACAGGAAGACTAAAGAGAGATACAAACCTTTCGTGGTTTACAGCATTTCTCAAGACTGGCAAAGCCAGATATCGATTCAAAGCGCTGTCAGTAAAAAGCCAAACCTGTCAGGAGATTTGCTGACTTTGCTCTTCTGGAGGCTGCTGTCCCCAGAACGATCCACTGAGCCAAGCGGCCGGCCAGACAGGGGCAGGGGGTCCCCCAGACCCCCCGAGAAATTGATCTCCTCATACAAGGGGGCTGAGGGGATCCCCGGGGACACGGAGCGCAAGCCATTCAGGGCTTCCAACAGGGAAATGGGCTCGAATCCGGGAGGTATGTTCTCCGAGTTCTCGAAGGGGGGAAAAAACAGAAGCAAAAACTGAAAACCTTTTGTTAAAACGAGCTCTCAAGCAACTACAAAAAAACACCGGGCTTCTGAAGATGCCTTTGCACTCTGCAGTACAGTCACAAGGCTTTTTGTCTATTCTAATACAGGCTAATCCTAAAATGATTAAATAAAAAGAAACACTCCAGCCATCTAGATTATGGGTAGATTGGGACAGGAGCCAGTTCTCTTTATAGTCTGCAGAGCAGAGCTGTGCATTTAACCAGATAAAAAAGAAACCTTACTTTTCACTTCCAAACACCAAGCCTGAAAACAAAACCCCAGACTCTCTCTGTTTCCCCATGCCGTTTGGAGTTTTAACAAGAGAACGTCTTTGCAGAATTTCAACAAGGAACAATACTAAAAAGTATGGACCTCAAAGTTTTTTTTTGTGGTCTTGGAGGAAAAGTTCTTAAAAGAGTCCTGCCAAATGTTTCTGAGTCCCGATCTCATTACCACATGAAAGGTTTAGTCCATCTTCTCCTATCCGAGTGTGTGCGTGTCTCATTTCTTTTACAATTCAACCACATCCTCATTACTGATTATTAAAAGTTTAAAGGAAGAAGTATTTTTTAAACAACGTTAATCGAAGGCACCTCATGATAAACATCCTGTAAATTAATTTTTACCGAACTGGTTATATTGCAGTGTGACTGCTTCATTGGACTTCAAAATAAAATTTTTCTTACTCTACAAATAATTACACAGTAAAGTCTCACTGATTAATGACCCCGACACATCAGAACAGATCGGCATGCTCATGTCTGTACGCCCCCTAGCATTAACATAACACAGACTGACTGCGATTACAAAAAGACTCTGAATCTGTGAAGAACATATATTTAAATGTTTTACTTTACTTATTTAAATGTGTTTTACAAAGCTGCAATCCTGGATCACTTTACTTGATTTAGTGTCCATATCCTTGCCTGAGAGTCTGATATATGTACAGGTCAGCAGTGTCCAACCTGGCCTGCACCCGGAGGGCAGCAAATGGGTAAATATCAATATTCCTCTGCATCCGACATACCGAATGCTCATCGTGGTCCATGGTTTGTGCCAGGACAGGACTGAAAGACACAGGGGAGAGAGTTCCAGGCTTCTTCCGGACAGCGCGGATCTGCAGCAGGGCTCGGAAAGCTGGGGGGAGAGGGGAAAAGACTTGGGATTAGTAAAGCAAGGAGGAAGACTCCTCCCCCAGGTCACTCCATAACTTCAGCCTGCAGTCCATCCATTTCTGCACAAATAGTGACAGCGCAGCTACTGGCTTAATCTGCGTTCATCCATTTCTTCAGCCTATCTGCAATAAGTCACGAACATGTACTCTGTTGCTGAAACCACTGACCACTTTCCCTTTTAGTCTTATATAAACAAAAATCTTAGCAGTTATATCCTAACACAAACATTATAGAAGATGGCATTAAATAGTATGTCTAAATCTTAATGACCAAAGCGTGTAGCCACACTCTTAAAATCAAACTTCCTATACTGGGAAAAATCCCATTGGACTTTACCAGTCATGGCCTCCTAATAATCCCCATCTCTGAATTGGCTTCATTACTCTCTCAGTGTAAGAGCTGGTGTGTGGTGAGCGTTCTGGCGCACTACGGCTACCATCGCATCATCCAGGTGGGGCTGCACACTGGTGGTGGTGGAGGGGATCCCCATTACCTGTAAAGCGCTTTGAGTGGAGTGTCCAGAAAAACGCTATGTAAGTGTAAGCAATTATTATTATTAAAATCAATCTGTATTTTCCACTGTGCGCTCTTCATCTCATGTTAACACTCATTGCCCACCAGGTGTCTCTGTATCCACATGTTCACACCCTCCTTAAGCGGACTTGTTACCTGGCAATGAGGAAGTTAAAAAAAAAACGACAGACATTTTTTTCCAAATCTGTAGCTTGAGACAGCTGTCCTACATTAAGCAGAGAAGATAGGAAGGGGTGCACAGCGCACAGTGCTCACTGCTGCACCTAGAGGGGTGGAGAATCTTTCATCTGAATTAAATGGAAGTCTTCACAAATGACTTTAGCACCAAGAGGAGTGTACAACAAGCAACCCCTGCCGAACAATACCGCAGCGCCACACTAAATTTAGAGACAACACCAAAGAGGGGCTGGCCTGACGAATGCTTGCCCTCTAGGAATTCTGCTCACGTGATGAGGACAACGCTCCATTTCTCCGTTTTCCTCGAAGCCCCCCCCCCCGTCAGGAGAAACTCACGCAGCCGGCAGATGGGGCAGTTGTTGGCCTGGTACCGCAGCGTGTCGGCGCAGGAGTTGCAAAGGCACAGGTGTCGGCAGGGCAGGATGAGGGTGTCCCGCAGGTCCGACAGGCACACCACACACTCGTTACTGTTGTCGCTGTTCTCGTCGTCCGAGGGCTGTCAGGCAGAGGTCAGTTTACACGCAGCTGGGGCACATCCCTACAGGCTCCTGGTGGGCCGGAGCAGTGGCACTGCGGCTAAGGATCTGCGCCTGTGGCTGAGAGGTCGCTGGTTCGTATCCTGTGGCCGGCAGAGGAATCCTATTCCGTTGGGCCCCTTAACTCCAGCTGCTCCAGGGGCGCCCTATAAATGGCTGACCCTGCGCTCTGACCCCTAACTTCTCTCCCTGTCTGCGTGTCTCATGGGGAGTAAGTTGGGGTCTGCGAAAAAGACAAACTCCTAATGCAAGAAACTGTATAGGGCCAATCAAGTGATCTGATCTGATTTGACAGGCTCTCCCACTACAGACTGGGGATCACGATCTGGAAGAAACCTGCCACTTCTCTGCTCTCTCCCTGAAACAGCTGTCCTATAGCCAGAAAGTGCAATCCTTTCACAGTGCCAAGTCTTCTGAATGTGGACAGTGTTGGCATAAACTTGCGCAAGAAAATAAATGAAAAAATGAACTGTTTAACTAATGAATATGCTTGCAAACATGCAGCTGACTTTTACAACCAAGAAATGCCACATCTTTCACCTGCGCTGACATGGGCAGCTGTTTGTCACAGCCTCTACAACCTGGTCAAAGTAATAAAGTGAAGCTTTATTATGAAAAGGACAAAGTTAGTTTGGATTTTAAGGAGGGGGGGAGTTTAAAATGTTATTTTAAGGATGAAACATTGGGATTATAAGGGCTCATCCCTACCTTTGTCTCCTGGTTGTTCTTGTTTTCGATGCCATAGATCTCCTGAAGGAGGTAGCTCACACGATCCACCTGGGGCATAAAATTACAACTCAGCTCCGGGGAAGAGAGAATATGTCTATGGCACAATGGCACACCTATCTGATTATGTGAGTTAGGGATAGGACAGACGTTTGGGGAGAAACATTGTGAGAATTAAGAGTGTCAACACAAGAGTCTGTTCACAAGGGCCTTAAAGAGACATTATCAGCCACTGAAACAAAGGATTCAAGACCGGAAACCCACCGACCTCCAAGCACATAAAAAGCCCAGAATAATGTGAAACATGCACAGAAAGAAGCAAAGCTTTCACCAGTCAAAGGCTCTGTTATGCGGTGAATGCAGTGTAAAAAGATCTTTTGAAGCCATTTCAAAATTCTGCAGACAGCACAACCTAAAATGTGTGCAGGTTTTTCAGCACCCTCTGTCATGATGGTCTGTAGCAATTCTGATGGTTCCAGAGGCTCTCTGGTTTACTGATTAACAAGAGACATTCTTTTGATAAGAGTCTGGAAAGTCTCAGCTCCATTTATCTTCCCATCTTGGACACACTAGCTGACTTAACAACGGCACCATGTGACAAGACAGAAAGAGCCACAGGCAAACAGAACAACATGTGCGGCTTTCATTATTAGTATGCTAGTAACATGTGACAGTTCCTTGATATTTTAAAATTAGATTGCCATAACTCTTTCACAGCGCTGTGTAGAAAGCATCTGACACAACATCCGCTGATGTCTACATATATTAGGTACTCTCAGAAACAAATCAATTACTTACAATTTGCTTCTGCTTCAGAGGCTTCACTGAAAAACTGCCATCGACATGCTGCAGACAAAAAAAGAAAGAAAGAAAACGGCAAATTATTTTTACTATTTGGGTTATTTCACACATACGGCCTAAACTATGGGTGTAGAGCACTTCAGTCCTGGGGGGCTGGTGTATGTACAGGGCGTCATTCCAACTGGGCTCTGAACGAGTTAAACCTGCTGACCGCTGCCTTATCTGGACCAATGCAGCAGCTTCCCCCAGCTTCCTTCTCCTGGCCGAAAGGAACTTGAACTTTTAAAGTTTAAGAAAGAAAATAGCAGTGTACCGAGCTCAACATCCACGAGAGTCTATCAGACCAAGATCGAATGTGTACGGTCATTTTGGGCCCAAACTTTCAAAAAAAGAGAAATTTAGAAACGTAAGCGAGTTCTCCACAGCATCATCACATGGATACTTACCTCTCTACCGATTACCACATCAAAAAGATACCTCCCGTGTTTGGTCGTTAAGAGCTTTTAAATCATTTTTTTTTCTCCTTTTATGTCCTGCAGCTTGAGACCAGATGCTGCCAGCCTGGTGGGTCTCACAATGACGGACCCCTCAGATCAGAGAGCAAAGCCACCTGGAGGAGTGGCGTGGATGTCACCGAGAGCACTGCACGCCACCGCCAGCAGGGGCCGCTGTTGCACAACATGCTGAAGGTGCTGTCTACCCACCCCAGGTGGTACTGGACACCCGAGTCCCACTAACTTGGCCACAAGTGCCGTGATCCAGACGTACACCAGAGACGTCTGGTGAAAAGGGAATTATTGATGGTGCGAACCATGAAAGTTCAAGGTTCCAGAAGAATTTAGCTCCGAGAACACGCTCAATTTCAAACACAAGTTGATATTCTATTGTTCGATACAAATATAATTGTTGTCAATGTCTGATTCTGCCTACATTCTGCAATGTCAGATGCATCAATACAACCAAATAACAGAAAATAAACGATAGCTAATAGCATGGCTCCACATGGCTGCAAAGAAATTTAATATCTCCCAGGATGGCTTTAATAAATACAATTTCAAAATAAAATCAAATGGATTATCGTTTCTGAAAGTCTCTCAGCGGCCATTAGACATAATACAGCCTCTTTCATAACAAGCAGTGGCTTTCATGGCAAGGAAACCCTTACTGTTTGCTTAATGGGTTTTAAAAGACCGAGCATTCCTGTGGGGAAAAGAGGAAAGGAATTCACACCCCTCTAATTGAAACAGACTCTGCCAACAAGGGCTGCAGGGTCCAAGAACAGGTTGCTTATCATAAGTCTGATTTATTTCCAATTTGCAAAATTCTTACCGCAGGATTTCGCAAAGGTTAGAGACGTTCCTTAAAACAATTATTTTATTGTAGCTCTTGTCACTGGAGGGGGCTGCTTTGAATTACTTGTAAATAAATCTAAGCACTGAATAGTGAACAAAGACATCCGTCTTCCAGTCCATTTATCCCTTTATTATGGATGGAATGCATTTTTAACCCTCTTATTATTAGCATATATGTTAACATGCGAAAAAGAAGCCAATACCACTTAAATAAAAGCAGCATAAAAAAGTGTTTTTGACATCCGAAAATGACTAAAAACTAAACAAACATTTTTAAAAAGTCAAAAAGAAAATATTCAGACGCATTCTGTATATTTCCAGGAAGGACAAAACAAAATATTTTTATGTGTCGAAATACCCTATACACACTTCCAATCCTTGTGAAATACAGTGGATGAAGTGTTTAATGTTCTCTAGATTATCATGATTTACATAGCGACATGATGACTCATCAGGAAACCAAATGAAAATTCATGCCTAAAACTTCAGAAGTCTTACTTACTCTTTCAAAGGCAGCCAAGAGAACATGTGCATGCCCCATGATCTCTGCAATGAAAGGGAGAAGGTTATTAATTACTCTTTACCTTGTTAATGGGTCACTATCTTTAACTGTTGCGGACCCCTGCTTCCTAAAACAAGGGGTTCGTTATCAGTCGTCCTAGAGATGTTATTAAAAGTCTGCATGGGTGCCTCAACTGATAGTGGTGCTCGTCCAAACACAGGTCATGCTCCATGACCCAGGCAATGTGGGTTCGAGACGATCAGGTCACTGGAGGTCTGTGACTGGGATTCCACAAACTGAGGCAGGCTGGGGATCAGCCTCTGTGAGCTGCCCACATCCCAGGCAGCTGCAGGGTCGCGGTGCTGTCAGTCAGGGACAGTGTGATCCTGTTATCGGTGCTGAGCGATCAGTGTCATGAATGGCTCAGAGGTGGGCAAGTCAGAAAAGCCATTCTGCCCTTCCTCATTCTGCCCATGTGAGGCTGCAAGGGAGCTCTGACCAGAAGCTTGAAAGCATGAGACTGGCAACTCCAGAGAGTGTGGGGATGTAACACAATCCTAGCATTCAACAGAACTATCATAGAGAAGATGTGGCCAATGCACAGAAGAGCTCGGAACTCTTAACTCTACCTACCATCTCCTTCATCTACCACTGCCTGGATCACCATGGGGAAGATCCCTCGGTCTAGATCAAAGTTGAGCTGGAATCAAATAAAAAAAAAACAGATCTGTGTTAAAAGGATGCTTAAATGTTGAAAACCTGTTTTGTTTTTTAGTAATCAATAAAACACATTTTTTAGTTTTAGTCTGTCCTTGAAACAATTTGAGAATTTATCTTCTACCTGAAGAAGGAAGAATGTACAAAGTAAAGGACCTTACAAGTAGTATACTATAGTTCTGAAATAAAAATGTGAAACTTCATGGAGTTCAGACGCAGATGGTAACTGGATTCTTCCTTCAAGCCAATTCAAATGAAGAGTCCACAAGTGCCTCAGAGTCATTTCTTAAATGCTAAATCTGAGGCTGGCTACTAGATACCTAATTATCATCAGATGCTGAAGAGTTCTGTTGGTATCAAACTCAACTATATCCTACTTGAGGCTGGATGATTTCATCTATAAACATCAACAATGGGACCATCTAAAGTCAAGAAAGCTTAGAAAAACCTAGAGGAATTAACTGAGCCTAGAGGAATTACACATTCATCTTACTAAATTATTTTTGCACAGAAATAAATGTCTCAATCACAACATTTATACTGTGACGTTTGCTGTTTCATTGCAGTTTATCATCTACATTCAAGGCAGAAAAGCACTATAATCAAAATCGCCACATTCATAATACATCGACTGGATTTTCAAACAGATGTCACTGGTATCTAAAACACCTAATCAAACCACAGGTCACTTCTGAAAATCCATATGAAAGCACTTGATTTAAATGAACAGAAATGATATAAATTACAGGAGCACCACTACTCATCAGCATGCACCCAACGCGATGAATTCTGGGAACGAATATGTGATTGCGTTTCTGATAACAACCCCCTCACACCTTTTGTTTTCACCCGACAAACCTGAGCTTTTTATCTCTTTCTATGCAGGCTGAATAATTATCACTTCAAGCATCTCTTCCTTCAGTCCCATCGTCCAGCAGGCCCTCCATAGATAATGCCAATTAGTGTTATGTGGCAGAGTGCCCAGAATTTCAATTACTACACAAACCATCAGTAGATGTATCTATAGTACAGGCCAGATTTGTTTTGAATAACTCCAGTGTTTTCAGTAAGTAAAATAACGAGATGGTTATTAACAGATACTTTGCATCTTGAATACGACAGGATTACCTCTACCAGGACTCTTGAAGGGTACACCTTTTCCTGTGCACTCCAAAAAACTGATGGCATCGGAACCGCAAAGTTTCCTTTTAGCTCTACACCCTTAACTGTCTAAGCTTCTCAAGAGGATGTGTAACTGCGTAACAAAAAATATGGTCCACAGAAACTGGACAAACACAAACGGGGCATTAGAGGAGCTGTGCACCACATAAAGCAATATTCAGGCTATTCAGTGTAATAGCTCTAAAGTCGACAGTGATTTGCTTTTAATCTATCAGTAGGTGTAGTTAGTGTATTTTGGTAATGATTTATTGGAAAGGGTTTGCTCTTCCCCTAGTATAGCAACCAGCTCCAGACACAACACAGTCCTCTGCTGTTAATCCAGTGGGGGGTGCTGCCAGACTGTTAACGTCCACTGAGAAAAAAAAACGCAAGGGTTGCTTTGAAGAATCCCACTTTGTTCTGAAGGAGACCCTGCAGTTAAGTTCAGACGCACCGAGTCTCACAAAGGAGGGAGGGGGGTGGGGGGGGGTTGATTTGGGAGGTCAGCAGCCCCTGCCAGACAAGCACTCACCTCCTCTTCCTTCCACTCGGAGAAATCGATCTTGAAGGAGGGCAGGGAGAACTGCTGGCTCACCCCTCTCTTGTAGTGAACTGTTTCAGAGACCATGCCAGGGGTCTTGGGGTTGTACCTTCAAACAGCACGGAGGCAGAACGGGAATGGCGTTTTATAACTGACGTTTTTATATTACTCCACAGGTAGCAGGAGCTCTGTCTATTTCACACCTGTGTGCTCCTGCCAGCCTGCCACGTTCGCCTCATGCGGACAGGCTGCAGCGCTTCTTGGCAGCTGAAGTCTCATGGTGTGAAGGAATGTAAGCAATGCTAATGAGAACCACCGCACTTCAAGCATAACGCACACAGAGCAGAACATCTAGAGAAATATTAAAATGCTTGGTGTATGAGGCTATATAAACATGCCCTCACAGTTTAAACTACAGGATTATCCTTCTACTTCCGTTTAGACAACAGAACTTCACAAAGAACTTGCCAGCTCTAACAGACAGGCATAATGCAGCACACAGGTGAAGCACTGTTCTTGATTCCTGAAGCATGTGTTTTATGAAATCCATACAATTGCATCTCCATTCTAGATCTCCCATTAAGTGGTCACTTAAAAATAAGGGCGGGGAGCAGCTTAGGCTGTACCTGCGCCCTGGCCAGCTCCACACGCGCAGCGCTCAACTCCAACTCCTGCGTATCCATGGAGACCAGCAGTTGCTAGGGGCTATAGATTTATTTTTTTCCCTCGTCTGGCTACGTGACTGTGGCAGCTCAGTGGCTTCAAGTTATGTCAACATTAAAAACCTAGTGAGAGCTTTGTGTATTTTAAACAGGCGTGAAAAAAACCCGCTCAATGTTGGCAACATCCCTTAAACAGTGCATCTTACATTGCATTATTTTTTGCACCTAATATGTACTACTGGAGCTATTCTCTAATTTGAGAGCTTGCAAGCTTGTTTTAACAACTTTCTAGTACTGCATTTATGGTCGTTTCTCACTAGAGTCGTTGGGCTACTACGTTCCGACTGACCAAACAGAAGAGTTTTGCATAATTTACCGAGGGAAAAACAGCCCTCAGGCTAGTTATACTGTTCATAACACATTGAGCAATGCGCTGCTGCACATCTGCTGCACGGCTGAGCAGTTGACTCCACTCAGGCATCACCCTGTGTGTCCTTTAGCCCACTGTTTCCCCACCCCGGAGTGTTAACTGGGCCTTACACTGCCATGCCGTTGGAGAACTCCTCATAGGCCTGGCAATACAGCGTTATGGCCACACGAGCATCGGCGTCGAAAGTGAACTCCACGCCGTAAAGCACCCTGGGCTTGCCTCCCTCCTCTGTGGGGCTGTCCGAGTCGTCCTTGTACCTGCAACACAGCAGACACACCCACCCCTCAGCACTCAGGACCGCTCACAGTCTGCAACACCCTAGAGAAACTGCGTTCTGCAACTGAATGCTTTGAAGGCTGTCAAGGTCTCAGGCCCAGGTAGGTTCCCTCTAGGGACAACGGGGTTCAAGTGTCCTTAAGTGGCACTGGCACAAGACTTGCCCGTCTCAGTCTGGAACTTCTCCACGTACGTTTCCAACTAGGAAAGCAACGTCACACTTCTCTGCCTATCTATTCTCCCATAATGACAGCCGAACAACACCATGCTGGGTTCTACACTTCAGTGGTGGAAGATGTGGTGTTCTGGGATGAAAAGTGTGCAGCCAACGCATTTATTATTAAAACTTGTTTCATTTGTTCCGAGGTCGTATGCAGCACAAGGGGCTGGTCATTTAACAGGGTATATAAGTTGCTATCAAAGCCACACAAAAAAATGAGGCATTACAGCACCCCAGTGGTAAATCTGCACTTCTAAAATTCAGCTAGGGCTCAGTGCATCCACACAGGAAGTCGCTGACCACTCACCTGACCAAACGAAGAGAATCCTTCCTGATGTTGACCAAACTCCTTAAGGTCTTGACAGCCTCATGGGGTGCTGGTGTCACATAGGGAAACTGAACAAAGCACAACACACACTGCATTCAGGCTCTCAACGCAGCCCTGTGTTGAGGAGGAACGTGTCCTACATGTACCTAAGGTGTCTGCGCTGAACTAGCAACCCTCTTTCATGCTAATTCAGTTCCTTTGCCCCTCCAGTTGTGAAGAGATCATGAAGCGATCAAAAGAGCACGTGTTTAAAAAGTGATGCAGAGCAGCCTTTGAAAATCTCCATGCACCAGTCATCTGTCTGGAGGCAAGTGCTGAAGTAACAAGGTGGGCAGGTGGAGCTGAAACCCTGCGGCGAATGCGCAGGGAGCACACAACAGCCCCCTCACTGGAAGTTGCACACACTGTGGCAACAGTACTTCCCCAGCTGTGTGAATCCTGTAGTCTGGGATTGAAACAATTCACGATCCTGCACACCTAACATATTCTTGAGGGACACATAAAAAAAACGTTAAGACAGCATAAGGATATGCCAGTTTGAGAGAGAAACTTCTGGAGTTGATTTCTTAAAAAGACGATACCCCAAGAGAGTAGGACTTGAAAATATCTAATACACCTATTGATCACTTAGTGAAACCGAAGATTGCTTTCTTCCTTATGAACAGCAGCAGACTTAACACTTGCAGAAAAAGGCAGAGTCACTTGTCAGGGTCACCTAACCTCTGTCTGAGCTTCACATCAGTGACTGAGCAAACAGGCACTGCTTCAGTGTCAGCTTACCTGCACAGGCCTGTTCCCCAGGAAATTCAGATCCATATTCTCCCCAAACAGGTAGCCCTCCGGGTGTGGAGTGTCAAACTTCTCCCCTCCCATGAAAAAGTGGCTGGCAAAGTAGTTCCCTGCAAATGAAAGGTGACCCACTTAGAGCCATACGAAACCAAGTGGTAACAGTATCCAGAAAGGGTTAGGCATACGTGAGAAGGGAGACTCTGTTACACCGGTGCTTCCAACCCTGCTCCTAGAGAGCTCCAGCCCACTTAGCCTTACTGCAATACACCTGTTTTCAAAGACTGAAAGTTATTGATCATTAAGGAGGGAATCAGTTCAATCACAGAAGACGTGATCCCTGAGGGCTGTGTTATCTTTACATTTGTGAGCCAGACATTTAACAGCTCCCCTGTTTAGCAGATTAAAAACAAACTGTGCCATGTATTTATAGTCCAACAAACAGTTCTGAAAAAACACAGCCCGAAATATTCACAGCAGCACTCCTTCCTTCTGAAATCACCTTCAAAATTCAGCTCCGGCTCTCCTTGTGCTGTACTAGGAACAATACTTGTAAAAGTCATAGATACCTGTAGCACAGTACTTGTGATAGTAACAACATTCTTCGTCTTTGGGAATGTACAGAATATAAAAGCCTAAAAACTCCCTTTTCACACATGAGGATGAAGTTTCAGTGGAAGTCCTGCTTTGCACAAAGCAGGACTAGTGATGCGACACTGATTCCTCATGCAGTACAATCAGACTGACAGTGGTACACATACTCACAAATGAACTCACAAATTACACTGCACAATTCAAGAGTATGGCAGGTATCCAGCACTGAGCAGCAAGGGAGTAATATCAGGGCTACGGCGTCCTTGAAAATGTAATGGACTGAGTGATTATATACGGATTGTGCCTCATGTGTCTAGCCATCGGCAATTTATTCTTCCTAGAAATTCCAGAGCCTTTGTGCCATGTTTTCAGTAAGAAGGGAAGACAGCACTAGGACTAACTGAATCCAATTTGTTTTTCCAGAAGAAGAAAAATATTTTTTAAAGCACATACCCTGTTATTAAGCCACGTCCACGTCATGTGCAGCATTCAAAACAGCTGCTGCGGCTTCAGTTGCATTGGAAATCTCTCATAGATGGCTAATAAGAGTCTTGCACTTACAGACCACAGCAAAGAGCTATAATGAAACAGGCTCATCATAGCTGGTTTCTGACATCATCTTCCCCATTCAGACAGGCAGTTTACAGCTGGAGGGGTAAGATCAAGGACTCACTGACAAAACTACATTCTGTCTGGCCTGAGCTCACAATCAAAGATGGTGCAATTTTACAGTCAGGCATCTCTGAAAGAAAGGAAGATGCCAGCCCAGCGGCCGAGACCCGAGCAGTTCTTCTGAAACATGGAAGCCAGCAAATGTACTTCATCGCTCATGAAGCAGCAGTGTTACCACCCTGTAGCGTGTTCTCGCCAGATCTCAGATGCTAATACTGAGATGGAAGACATCCAAGGAAAACCATGTTACAGCTGTTAGGCTGTGTCGGTACTGGTGGACCAGTAGGTGGCGTGCCTCCCTCTGGTCCTGAATTGCCAAACTAATGCCCACGTATGGGGGACGCTACTGCAGGAGGTGCTCTCCTTTGGACTGAGAGGCTGAACCGAGGGCCCCACAGCATGGTCATTGAAGATGCTGCAGCAGTGCTCGTAACAGTGAGCATGTTAAGCCTGTTCCAGCTAAACTCCACTCAGCACCCCAGATGGGTGCTGCTGACATGTCAAGTACATTGATGCCCACCAGGATGAAAAGTAATGTATAAATGCAGGGAAATACTGTTGATAAACTGGGCTCATCCCTGACAGCGTCTAATTTGATGACACATTTCAGGGTAATTTCTTTCACGATTTAACAACATCCCCTGTGTTGGAGAAACACGCTAGGAAATGCCAGACAGAAAAGTCATGGGGGATCTTTCAAAATTTCCATTACAGTATACTGTATGGACAACATCGTGGAGTAAATGGCATAGAGACCACGGAAATATAAGGGGATTGCTTTACAACTGCACCTAGATTGTCTCCTCTGCCTCCAGAACAGCCCCAGGGCCCAAAACAACAAAAAGAGCTTACCCAATCTGCTCAGATCAGAATTTAAACCCAAATCTACAGACAAGGGTTTTCCCAGGAAAACGCCAAGTCCAGAACTGTATCTTAAAGTCACTCACATCAGCCCAGCCTGCCAAGCCCAAGGGGTGAAACTGCTGCCACCTTTTCTCCCCTCATCCCACCCACAGGCCCCGACACACAACCACACCCTAACTTTTCACAACAACGACAACAGCAGCACTCAGGGCCAGCGGAGAAATTTCAGCATCCTCGATCTCCTAACAATCGTCCCCGTTTCGCCACGACGGTGGCGCCTGTAGTTTTAAAACCTGCGACTCTCTGGCGGCTCTGCCCGGCCTCCCTGCCTGGCTCGGACGGGCGCGGAACGACTTTCCTTTTCCCGCCCAGCTCCGACACCAAACAGGAACGCGCCGGAGGTGCCCCAGCCATCACCCGCCGGCTGAGGGGAACTGAAAGAGCTCCGCCGGGCCCAAGGTCACGTCCCCTGCGCAGGTGGGACACAACCCCAGGCCGTCAGCGTGCAGCTAAGATCAGTCCAGCATGGGGGGGTCAAGCTCCATCACTCCACTTCGCTTTGCCTGCTGGTGCTATTCTATGGAATAGCACCAGCAGCCCTATTCTATGGAAAGCAAGCGTGGCAGCCGTTTCCAAAAACCCCCCTTTTTTTTTTACAAACCAGATTTACCCCCTGTCTCGTTCTCCCTTTTGATAGTCTCCTGTGCGACAGGAAAAAAAAACTGCCACATCCCTGCTACTGCACGGTACGCGGTGGGGATTCGGGACATCGGTTTTATTACTGTCCTGCTATGTGTGCCTCATGGCCTGGCAGCCGACCCGGGTCACGTCGTGATCGACCGCTGTCACTCCCTCACGCTGCGGGACAAGCAAGGGCAGCACCTTCACAAGCCCAAGATGCCCTCAGCTCCCGCTTGCAGGCGACTCCCGTCGTCATGACAGCAGCGGATGGCACCAGCAATCCTCGCTGGGAAAGCAGGTGTTTTTCGCCCAAACTGATTGCATCACCGGCGTACATGCAACACTTCGGTTATACGCAACATGAAATTAGTGATGAAATATCAAAAACTCTTTACAACAAAACTTTATACCGTGCAATATTCCATTTAAAGTAAAAGACCACCTTGCATCCACGCTGTCTTTCCAATACATCACCCAACCATTCTCACAAGCACTTCACAAACCATTTTTAAACGCCCGTTAAGGCAACACACAGAAACCCTGTGTGCTGGTGTGATTTTCATTTTGCGCCGATACAATTACGTGATTTTCTTTTCTACTCGAATGGCACTGCTCGGTAAGTTCACAGGCGAGGCAGGTCATCAATAACGCGCAGGTGTCCCATAAATACTATCAGACGAGAACTTTGACCCGATCCCCCCGGGGCCGCCTTCCTGTTTGTACACAAAGTCTTAGACTCCTGGGGCGGTACGCAAAGGCACCTCTGACAACACACTCAGTAGCCAGGGGTTGGCATGACTGAAACAGGGTCCTTACCGGTCTTGGGAGGGTATCTGTAGGCGGAATTTGCTTGGATGTCAATGTCTTCAACTCCCGCGATTCTCCGGCTAAGTATCGACCCCATGCTTCTCGCACGACCTTACAAACGGTAAAAACACAGGCAGCAGCGGTATAAAAGACGACGAGACGCCGGTCGCTTCAGGACTGAACGCTGTTCTGCGATTTAAGGAAAACGGCGGCGACTACGACAACGATTTCAGACGGAGAGAAATCCGTCGGACATGATGGAGAATTCCAAGATTTCTCGGGGATCGGCGATTAATCCTTTTTTTTTTTTACCAATTCTCTCATGAGGCACAGCGATATTTCCTCAGTTACATTTATAGTCCCACGACGTCAGAGGTTCATCCGGAAAAACACAGAAGTCCGAAGCCTCGAAGACACAAACGGAGACGGGAGAGAAACGGGGTTGTTGTTTTTTTTTTTTTCCGTCCCAGCAACAGGGTGTCGCGCGACATACGTGAACTCTCCCAGCATCGCGCGGAACGGGCAGGGGCTTGTGGGTCTTGTAGTTTTCAGAAGGAGGCTGCCATGCTCTCTTCGATACCTTTAACATGCCATGGAAACTACAACACTACTTAACTACGAGCGAGGAGAAGGAAAGGACTGGGTGTAGTGTCGTCGACATTCACTCGCTGCCTCTATGACCGAATTAACACGATCATATTCGCGCTTAGCCGCTGTGATCCCTTCTTAACTTAGCTAGCTGTGTAAATAGGTATGAAAAAAACACTGTTCTGTGACTACATATCTTCACAAAAGGGTTGCAAATAAATAAGGAACAACGAAAAGTTTATTCCATGCTTCTTTGGGTGTTCTGAAGAAGGTTGCGCAGCCGAAACGTTGCGTCTCTTCTCTTTCCAGCGGGGAATAAACGTGTACCTGTCCCTTTGCAGCCTGCGCATGCTGACGCAGCTCATGACTTGTAAAGAAATAAGTCGTCAGATGGAAAACGATTAATACGAGTTTAGAGAAAAGTATACTCATGGGAAATACTGCTTAATCGTGGCCCGAGGGGGCGCAGTGGTTAGGCATCCCTGTGCAGTGTTGTGGCCCTGGATTCGATTCCTATCCGTGTGGAGTTTGTATGTTCTCCCTGTGTCCGCGTGGGTTTTCCTCCCACAGTCCACAGACACACTGGTAGGTTAACTTGCACTGTTAAAAAAAAAAACCAGCTGGCCCTGGTGTGTACGCCTGTGCCTGTCTGTCCTGCAATGGACTGGTGTCCTGCCCGGGATGTATCCCACCTTACTGAGACGGACACCGGTTCCCTCTGAACCGAACTGGATCGAAAAGGTTAGCAGACTGATGGGTGGACAGAATTGTACAATATGTGAAGTTACAACCGTGTATTTGTTGACATATACAAAAAACTGATTGCGATGTTTTGTGACGTGGCTATGGATATGTTGATAGTGAGGAGTGTATTGTTCTCTTTGCAAAATACCAGCGTCTTTCTGTCCAGATTGTACAGGCTGACATGGGGTTTGTTTAATGCGTGACTCTCTCTCCCTCACTTCCCTTCCAGGAATATTAATCAGAGGCAACACACACCAATAAAACAGACATGCAGAATGATATACAAATGATAGCTCTATTCACCTGGGCCACACTCAGACATTCATTCTAGAACAGATAGGATCACAAACACCAGACACAATGGGCTCTGCTCGGCCGTACTGTTGAATAAAAACAGCAACCAGCTCTTCAGAAATAATGCTGCTAGTGCTCTGAAAAAGACTGTTAGGCTTGTAGTCCCAGGAACAAAACAGTGTTGTCTTTCAGGCGTCAAAACGGAATCGAGGAATAAAACTAACCACACGGGATAGCGTACACGCGAGAAGGAACCGACATATTTTCATCGGCAAACTCCGAGAATTTACTCATTTAAAAAAACAGTCTTTCATCTGACATTCGGCCATAGGAGGACGCCCGTCCGGCCGATTGGCACAGAGGTCAAGCGTGTCCTAACAAAACTGGCGCAGATCCCCTACTCCCGGACCACAACACCGGCCTTACACACAGCGCCCCTCAGCTGACAGCTCCTGGCCCCGCCCCTGCTCGCTTTTCATTGGCGCTCAGAGGTTTGTTGGCCTAATATGGTAAGATAGTGACACAAAGCGCCCAGGAATTGGACGGGAGCGGCCGTCATTCACAAAAAAAAAAATGTTTTGCTTTCTAGAATTTTACAAACAAAGCGTGTGGTGCCGGGATTTGTAGTCCAAAATGCAAACAATAACACAAGGGGGGAACGGAGATCTGCACTTACAGCTAATCAGGATTCGTTTCTACACTCAGATATACAGTTTAGAAACCGTGTCGAGCCCAAAGGTGAAACGTATTTCTAAATACCATTTAAATGTCATACAGTAAATATATGGCCAATTCAATGTTATCGGGGGAAAAAAAACGCCGTCTTAATGTGTCACCATTCTGGATATAAACCGAATTTAAGACTGTATTGAACTTGGATAGTATGTATTTGGGCTTAGTTTTTAAACTCCTCACTCAGACCCGCGCGAAAACAGAGAAATCGCCGGAGTTTCTGTTCTTAGGCTGTCGTGCAAAACGAGCTCTCTGACACTGCGTGAAAACACGTGTGGGGGCAGCGGGGGTTTTCAGAAACTACAAATCCCACAAGCGGGCAGTCCCACCCCCTCGCTGCCGTCAGCAGTCAATCAGAAGGAGCCCTCTAGACTGGCGATCCTACAGTAAATATTTGTGTTTGCTGAGCCGGCTGTAATGGTGGATCACTGAAAGAGACAGAAAGGGAAAGAGAGAGAGAGAGAAAAAAAACAGAAGCAAGGACCGAGACGCAGAAAGAATATCACACGACACGCTTGAAACGGTTACCGCTTCGGCGACTATGGATGATCTAAAGCACCAAGTGATGATCAATCAGTTTGTTTTGACGGCTGGGTGCGCGGCGGACCAGGCGAAGCAGCTCTTGCAAGCGGCACACTGGCAGTTCGAGGTATGGGCTCTGGAGCTGGTGTTTATATATATATACACACACACACAGTCTATCCGCGGGAGAGAGCGGGTGCTTTGTGCGTAGGATTGCCATGTTTAGTGTCTTGCCCGAGAAGGTTGATTTGCAAATGATGTCGAAAGCCGGGACTGAAGAGATCGTCAACCCGAGCTCCCTTTCTTATTCACCGCGTCGTCTAGCAGAAATGTGGTGGTACGTGTAGCGAGCATGATTGTGTTCAGGAGGGGACGAGTGCATCCATATAACTCGAAATCCCCCCCCATCAGAATGTGCCCTGGGTGCCACAGTCCCCTTGCGCGGCTCACACAGGGCAGGAACGGTGTTGTGCAATATATGGCCGTCGTGTATTGCCTTCGCCGTGCCGTGACTGCGAGAGACCCCCCCCTCACCTCACCTCACCACACCAGACCCCCCCTGCTCGCTTGACCTGGTGACCGTGGGCACCGGCCCCCCGAGCAGCGACACGCCGGGCTGTCAGGCGGCGAGCGGCCCCGGCGAGACCAGCCTCTCTTAAATTCACGCTTTCTCCCCTTGCAGACTGCGCTCAGTGCCTTTTTTCAAGAAGCCAACATCCCGTACAGCCACCACCACCAGATGGTGAGTATATACTTTTTTTCAGTGTATGCATGTCCGTGCTTTATTATCGGGATTAGTAGTACTTTTATTATTATGATTATGATTATGATGATGATGATGTGTCCGCCATGTTGCCGGGGCTAGAAGCTGGATAAAAACATAAACAAGACGGCGCACGCTTGGGTTCCGACTCCGCTCTCCTAGCTTTCTAGTTTTCTGTCTGGAGGAGGGGAGGGAAAAAAAAGGCTTTTTTTTTTTAAAAAAAAAATGATGATAGATCGGAGCTATCGCAAGGAAGCCGTCGAGTTCGTTCAACTCGGGTTACAAGAGGACCGGTTCCTTCTCCGGCCCGGTTATTTATTTATTTTTAAAATTGCGGTTTTGAAAACGTGTCTCCGAAGAGGAGGTTGTGGTGGTGGGTGGTGGGGGGGGGGTGATTCCAGGAAAACTGTGAACATGGTGTCGGTCTGCAGTTTCGACACGAGTCTCTCCCCTCCCTCCCCCTCTCCTTACACACCAGAGCAGCGCCGGACTCTTCTCTTCCCCTGTGTCACTGACCGCCGCGCTGGGTCAGGATCACAATCTGCGGGTCCTGTGGCATATTGGAAACAGGGTAGTAAACTTTTTTCCCGTATCAGGACAACACGTAAAAAAAAAAAGCACCCAGCTTGTACAGCTTTTGGCTGCAGCTTTTACCTGCAAATGAATGGCTGGAGCAGGATCTGCGACCCCCCCGCGATTTAGTTCGCTCAAATACACGGCAAGTCCCGGTTATTTCTGTAGGACGTGACGTGTCGTCCTGCGGTGGGAGTGCAGTTTCACGCCAGCGATGTGGACATAGTGAAAACGGAGCTTATTTGTGAATCGTTTCTTTACGGGGCGCCCTGATCGCCGGCAGCTCTCGGGCTGTGATTGTCAGCGCAAAAGCTTTCTTTCCAAGAAAGCGCAACATGCTCTCTACCGGCATGAACGGTTTCTGGGTTCAGTCCTGACATCTTTATAATGTTACATTTATTATTATCATCATTCTTGTCATCGGCGCACAGGAGGCTGGAAAAAGCTGCCGCTACAGATAATTCTAACACTTGCTTGTTTTGGGCATTGTTTCGACAGAACACAATAAAAGAGAACACGGCTATATGTTTCCAGGAAATCCTGCAGTATAGCAGAGCTACAGTGCACGATGAAAAGGACTATCGTTGTCTTGATTCTTAGTTTCCTGTTGACGGGGCGTGTGCGACCTCCCGACTTCCACAGAAGCGTAGCTGTAGAGCCATGCGCGCTCCTTCGAGTGCCTGAAACCACAGTTCGCTACTGCCGCACACGAAGAAACCGAAACGGAGGAAAAACATTAATTAGGATTAGTATAAGCACTCTCTGACATTTGTGTTTGAAGCCTAAAACACATAATTAAACTGTGGGGTAGAAAGTTCTCGAAGTGTAGTAATTGGTCTCCCTCAAACCGCTTTTTTACTGCAGGGGGTTCTGGGTGGGGTTTTGATTTTCTCATTTCCTTCTTCATTATCGGATTACATGGAAGCACACGGTACAGATTATGAAGATGTAGGGTAACCCGAGTGGAAATTCCCGTGTTTTTTTTTTTTTCCCCCAGGACAAATCGGCAAATGGTTTCGGGCCGTCTCGATTCGTTTTTATCGGGTGAGAACGGGTGAAACCCATCACGAGTTGACAACTACTGACGCTCGTCTGATTGCAAGCAGAATGTAAAAGCCCTTCTCTCTGAAAGATGCGGTAATAAACGGGTCTCTTCGGAGTTTTGAAAAGTTCTGAACTGGGAACGCACTGGTCGCCAGTTGAACCTTTTCAGCTGTAATTTCTCCTAAGTACAGTGTAGATGGCCAGTTTGGGTACATAATTAGATGTCATGAAAATACGTTGTTTGTACAGTATCTAGGGAGCTGGCAGCATGTTAGGGGACTGTCCTATCCTTGGGTATTAGACCAGCTGCCTTTGGCTGCAGAGAGGCAGTATGCACAGTGCAGTGGAGTTCATCCAGCTAACGCAGAGTATAGACTGCAGATCTCTGTTGATCGTGTCATTGAATATTTGTTTCTCTGATTAAGACCAGGCTCTTAACATTTTCTGCTGTCTCGCTCTGTCTGCTCATGGTGCTGTTTTTGTTCTTCTTGTTTTTTCTACAAAGCATGAAAAAGCACGCTTTCACCCCGCCACCCCAAAGCCATGCAAAAGAGAAAAGTGGGGGCAGTAAGTTTGATTTTCAGAGCGGTTGATACATGGTGAATCGGGGGGGGCTGCAGTATGAATCAGCCGTGTTAAGAAAGTAGACTTCTTGTCCAGACGTGATGCTGGCGGTTTCCAGGGGGCTGCTTCCCGGAGAAGCGGTGCGTTTCCTTGTTACCTGGGCAACGCACAAACTGTGAGGCGCTGGTGGATGTTTTGTGCTTGTCCGGACGCTGGGTGCTTTGAGCCCCAGCAGGGATTTGTCTCGGGAGCGTTGTGGAAGAAGCCGGAAGCTTGCGTCGGGCAGGGAGAAACGTTAATGAGAGGATCGCCCCAAAAAAGAGGAGAGACCGCTTCTTGACAATTGTGACAGAGGAGCTCCAGCAGAGGAGAGTAATGCCCCCTGCATTTCTGGGGGGAGGAAAATCCGTGTCGGACATGCATACCTCAACACGGCTCTTGGAGAAGGGAGCGAGACCGCCTCAGCTGAGCTCTCCTCCTCCTCCCGTTTAGTAGCCAGGAAACATCCCGATTCCCCCCATTATAAAAAAAAAAAGGAGAAAATCTGGATGGATTAACATCTGACAGCATTTCAGCTGAACAAAAGACTGAAAGATCTGTCTGTGTATGTTCTCCGTCTGGGTCTGGTTTATGAAAAATGTCGCCCCTTTGGTGGCAGGCAGGAATTACTAGGCTAAGGAATATTCTGGTAATCCTGTGCAGGGGAAGCAATGTCCTTCTGAACAGAGCAGGAACAAGAGATTTGCCCCTCACTGTAGCTGAACGGTGCCTTTGGAACTTGCGCTTTGGGGTGTGTATGGGCTAGAATGAGTCTTGTCCGTTTTCAGCATGACCGTAGTGAGCTTTCATTGATGCTGAAAGGCGTGGGCGCTTGGGAGTTCAGTGTTCTTGTTTGGCCAAACACACGCGGGCCTTTATCTGAAATGACAGAAGCTGACATGGCAAGGGCTAAGCTGTGCTTTTTGTCGCTCTGTGCATTGGAAACCCTAGAGCAGGAGGCACCTCACTACACAAAGGGTGGCGGGAGGGTGGTACAAGCGGCCCAGACAAGTTGCGAAAGCCGATATCCTGGCTTCTTTTAAGAACCTGCTGGAGGAGGTCCTCCAATCAGAATGGCGGGCACATCTTCACCCACAGTCGTTTAGGGCTTTTCGGAGTTTGGAACAGGCTGTCCAGACAAGTTGTTGAAGTTGACTTGCCTGGCTGAATGAGATCCTGGGATCAGTTAACTATCTCCTACAAGTTGGACTAGATGGGCTGAACAGCCTCTCTTTTGACACGTTTGTTTATGTTCTCTGCTCATGCAATGTCTACTGGCTCACTGGTTGCTTCTTGGTGAGCGCTTGAAGTTGAACTGATAAATGAGCGAAAAACAAATAATTCGTTGCCAGAATCCTTTGCAAAGTCCTGCTTCGGCAGAAGCCTTGCTTGCTGGATTTTCGGCTTAGCGCTAAAAAGCCCTGCCCCTTGGCCTGATACTGGCAAGACAGACCAATGCGATACTATCTGTCTGCATGTTGTGCACAGGAGAGTCTGTACAATGTGAAAAACTGTCAGGCTGATGGTTTCTAATCAGTTTTTCTTGTTTGAGCACATTTTTGTGTATGTTCTCTATAGCAATGAAAATGAAAAGAGAAAGTCAGATAAAATGGTTAGATATTCAGGTCAAATCCTGCTGAGGTAAATCCTGTTGTACAGAAAACGAGGAAGAAAATAACTCAGTTGGTGTGTCTGCTGTGAGATATATCTCAGGTGTTGTTATGTCTTGTGATATATGTTAGGTTGTGCTGGGATAAATATTATGCGGCCAAATGTGTGCAGATTTTAACAGTGGAAGTGGAACAGTTTGCACCATATTGTGGGATGGATTCAGTGCAGTGATACTCAGTATCGGCCCGGCTCATCTCCTAATGTACTGCTGAAGCCTGTTTCTTTTATTTTCTGCAAATCATCAGAGAGTCCCACCACCCTTATCGTCCTTGTGTGTCTGTGTGGGGGTCTGACGGTGCTGGCGCTCTCCAGTCTCGCAGCGCGCAGTGAACAGGGGGGGAGGGGGTCATTACTGCTGTCTTGTTAAGTGAGGAGGTCACGTGCGCTTTGAGGTGGACAAGCACCCCCTGCCCGAGCCCCCGGTGCTCCGAGGGCTGATTGCTCCCGGCCTGACCTTGCGCTGTTTTTATTTGTCTCCTGGGGAAGCTGGGGAGTCGAGGGCGAAGTGGTTGAAGACGGTTGGTCTCTGTAATCGGTTGTTGTCTTTGAGTTTTCGATGATAATCCCCACAGCTGGCCAGTGTCGCTCCCTTAAATCCGTGTGTGTGTGTGTGTGTGTGTGTGTGTGTGTGTGAGAAGCGTGCTGCATCACACTGAGACCCCTCTGTCTCCTGGTGTGACCTCTCTGTCTGGCCAGCTGACCCTCATCTGGCTGCACCTACACTTTCCCAGCGTGCCTGCGTGTCTGAGACCACAGTCTTGGGGGAGAGGAGGGAGGTGTGGAGCCCTGTTCTTGTGGCTGCTCGTCAGAGCACAGGCAGTTACAGTCTTGTGGGACGGCCTTCGTCATGGGTTTCACTGGGGCAGTCTGAAAATAGAGCTGTGTTTTCTTGTGCGGGCAGGACCAGCTCTGTGCTGCTGTATATAACTTAACAGGGGGTAGCACTGGCACGATGAATGAAGAACGGCTTTGGTTACATGGACCAAAAAATTCAAGTGGCATACAAGTAGACAGTGGGATGAAATATCGTTCCTCCTGGTCCACGGGGCAGATACAGACAGGGCACTGACATAGACATTATAGACATG